ACCCCGCCCCCTACAGTTCCTGGAGAAGGGAGCCGCAGACTATGTGGGCGGTGCGGGATGCGCTAGGGGGCGGGCCTACTGCCGCTTCCGGCCACAGGAAAACTTGGTTCCGTACGACAATATGGCCGCACTTAGGTATAGTTGGCGGAAACTCCGTGGCTTCCGGTCTGTAGAGGGGCCTGCTGTGGGAGGGGGAAGGAAGGCGGAGGGAACCATACGAGGTTCTGCGATCAGCGGAGAGAGTCGCCTCCAGAGACCGTTTCTGAGGTGGGGGCCGGACGGTGCGGGGAGCGAAGGAGGGGGCGGGGATATCGAGGGAGAGGTATCGGAGAGACGCGGGAGCTGAGTCTGAGGGAAAAGCTGTGGTACCTTCCTATCCCTGAAGGGGAATGGGGCGGCCGGGGACTGAACTGGGGGAGGGGGACTTGGCGGGAAGCTCATCTACTGGACCGGCCCGACCCAGGATTGGGATCCGAGAGGATTCCGCAGAGCCCACTGGGAGGCTTGCGATAGGTTACAGGTCACAGAGAAAGAATGGGAAAAATTAGGGTGGGGTGAGAGGGAGGGGACTTAAGGTGAAATTCCTCCAACCTATAGAACCGATTTGAGGAGACCCATCAGAGGGTGAAATATGGAGACAATTCAGGGGGGGGAAAGAGAATGGATTGTTGGGAGGGAACCTCTTTTGCCTCGGAGAATCTAAGAGTTGGGGGTGATCATTCAGGATGGGTGGGGTGTGGGTTTGACTTAAGGGCGAAAGGGGGTAACACGTGAGGTGGTGCCGACGGGGGAGTGTTATCTGTGCAAGGTGGTGTCACGGAAATTTGGGGTGCAGTGTGGGAGGTGGTCCTGGGCTTGGGAGGAAGAATCAAGTTACCGACTGTGAGAAGTAGTGGGGAAATGCAACAGAAAGACCGGAAATCGACGTAAGGGGTGGAGTTGGGGGTGTGGACTTAAGGTTTGGGGTTAGTTTGCTCTCCCCCGACTTGAAGGGCCCTAAAAGCGTAGAACTAATGGTTGCTGAAGATAGGCAGTGAGGACATTGTTAGTCAGACTTGGTGTTACTAAAACCCAAGGAGATTGGAAAATGTGTCAGATAAAGAGATGGGGCTATGCTGGAGGGGCTCTTTCTGAGGCCCCATCCCCTTCCAGCAGGAATTCCGAAATCCCCAACACTTTCTCCCTCCGGGGGATTTGATCCCCCATGGCCAGCGCCAACAGCATCATTGTGCTGGATGATGATGATGAAGATGAAGCAGCTGCTCAGCCAGGGCCCTCCCACACACCCCCCAATCCGGCCTCACCCCAGCCAGAAGCCCCTGGCTCCTCTGAGCCCCATGGGGCTGGAGGAAGCAGTAGTTCGGGCGGCAAGAAGTGCTACAAGTTGGAGAATGAGAAGCTGTTTGAAGAGGTGAGCTTTAGGGGAGAAGATTCTTGTATCCCAGGGAGGGGGATGGCTGACTGGCTCTCCTATCCTTTCTTTCCCAATAACCCCACTTCCCTTTCTTTCTCTCAACCCCCCCCCCGTCTCTTTCCCCCTCCCTTCTTCCCCTGAATCCTCCAGTTCCTTGAACTGTGTAAGATGCAGACAGCAGACCACCCTGAAGTGGTCCCATTCCTCTATAACCGGAAGCAGCGTGCCCAATCTCTGTTTTTGGCCTCTGCGGAGTTTTGCAACATCCTGTCATGGGTCCTGTCTCGGGCCCGGAGCCGGCCAGCCAAGCTCTATGTCTACATCAATGAGCTCTGCACTGTTCTCAAGGCCCACTCAGCCAAGAAGAAGCTGAATCTGGCCCCTGCTGCCACCACCTCCAGTGAGCCCTCTGGGAATAACCCTCCCACAGACCCCTCCTCGGACCCCACAAATGCTGAAACCACTGCCTCTGAGGCCCCAAGGACCCGTGGTTCCCGGCGGCAGATCCAGCGCTTGGAGCAGCTGCTGGCACTCTATGTTGCAGAGATTCGGCGGCTGCAGGAAAAGGAGTTGGATCTGTCAGAATTGGATGACCCAGACTCCACATACCTGCAGGAGGCACGGTTGAAGCGTAAGCTGATTCGCCTCTTTGGGCGTCTGTGTGAGCTGAAAGACTGCTCTTCACTGACGGGCCGTGTCATAGAGCAGCGCATCCCCTACCGGGGCACCCGCTACCCAGAGGTTAACAGGCGCATTGAGCGGCTCATCAACAAGCCAGGGCTTGATACTTTCCCTGACTATGGAGATGTGCTGCAGGCCGTGGAGAAAGCAGCTGCTCGTCACGGCCTCGGCCTCCCCCGACAGCAGCTCCAGCTCATGGCTCAGGATGCCTTCCGAGATGTGGGCATCAGGTTACAGGAGCGACGCCACTTGGATCTCATCTACAACTTTGGCTGCCACCTCACAGATGACTATAGGCCAGGTAAGGGGTTAGTGGGATTCCCATCAGTGACTCTTATATGTTGGATGTGTGGTGGAGGGAATACCTCTCTAGTCCCTGCTTCTAGGGTTTGGGCTGAGTGCTCTGACTTTATATCTTCCCACGTAGGCATTGACCCTGCACTATCAGATCCTGTGTTGGCCCGGCGTCTTCGGGAAAACCGGAGTTTGGCTATGATCCGGCTGGATGAGGTCATCTCCAAATATGCAATGATGCAAGACAAAAGTGAGGAGGGCGAGAGACAGAAGAGAAGAGCCCGGCTCCAAGGCACTTCTTCCTACTCTGCAGATTCTCCTAAAGCCTCCTTGGATTCTGGTGAGGTGTGGAAGGGGTACATCCTTCAGAGAAACCTTGTTCTTCCCTTGCACTGACCACCTGGGAGTCCTTGGTGACTGATGGGGAAGTGTGCAGAAGGAATGCAAGAACCAAACCCTCTGGGGCAAGGGATTCCTTAGAGAAACTTCTTTGTTCCCCAGGGTCCTAGTGGAATGACATCCCAGGAGTGCCCTACTACTTCCAGGGCTGAGACGGATAATGAAGATGATGAGGAAAGTGATGATGAGGAGGAGGAAGAAGACGAGGAGGAAGAAGATGAGGAGGCCACAGATTCTGAAGAGGAGGAGGACCTGAAACAGATGCAGGAAGGTCAGGGGGACGATGAAGAGGAGGAGGAGGAGGAGGAGGAGGCAGGTATGTCAGGGGAACATTTTCCTCACCTGTCAGTTCTACTCTGTTGGGCATGAGCCACCAGTGTGAGACCCTTTCCCTTCTTTCTCTTACTCCTAGTGTCCTCTCAGCAGTATTTTTTTCCCCTAGTTCTCATGCTACCCCTCCCCTCTTTTCTTCTTCTTTTGCAGGTAAGGATGGAGACAAGAGCCCCATGTCCCCACCACAGATCTCCACTGAAAAGAACCTGGAACCTGGCAAAGGGATCAGCAGGTCTTCAGGCGAGCAGCAAAACAAAGGACTCACAGTGTCACTATCCTCGCTGTCGGAAGAATCCCTGGCCCCCTTCAGCATAGATGCTGAAAGTAATGGAGAACAGCCTGAAGAGTTGCCCTTGGAGGAAGAGAGCCCTACTTCTCAGCTCTTTGAGCTAGAGATTGAAGCCTTGCCTCTGGATACCATCCCTTCCCCTGAGGAGAGGGACATTTCCTCTTCCAGAAAGCAATCAGAGGAGCCCCTCACCACTGTTGTGGAGAATGGGGCAGCCATGGTCACTTCAACTTCCTTCAATGGAGGTGTCTCTCCTCACTCCTGGGGAGATTCCAGTCCCCCCTGCAAGAAATCTCGGAAGGAGAAGAAGCAAACAGGATCAGGGCCATTAAGAAACAGGTAACAACAACAGGAGGAGGAATAGGGAAGCCAAGGAGAAATTGCAGGGGGCTTTCTGAGAGGAATATTGGGAACTGAGTCTGTTGGGAGAGATTGGACACTCTCCTTCCAACCTCATACTCCCCATACCCCTCTACGTATTTATGTTTCTGTTCCCAGCTATGTGGAAAGGCAAAGGGCAGTGCATGAGAAGAATGGGAAGAAGATATGTACCCTGCCCAGCCCACCTTCCCCCTTCACTTCCATGTCCCCGGTTGCTGATTCCTCCACAAGGGTGGACTCTCCCAGCCATGGCCTGGTGACCAGCTCCCTCTGCAGCCCTTCTCCAGCCCGGCTGTCTCAAAACCCTCAATCCCAGACTCCCCGGCCCAGTACTTACAAGGTAAGAGTGGGGAGGCTATTTTTCATCTGACAGTTTGTTCTCTTTCATTGCCAGTTTCAGACACTTTGTCTGAATATTGCACCTGCCACATCTTCTCTCCGTTTTTTCGCCACCCAATTTTTAATATCTAAATTCTTCCTTCTGCTTCTACATCCTCTGTACTCCAGACCTCTCTGACTCTTTGTCTCTCACTTCCCTTCAGATGAGTGTGGCCACACAGTGCGATCCCGAGGAGATCATCGTGCTCTCAGACTCTGATTAACTGCCTCCTCCTCTCCCCGCCTCCAAAATGTTTTGGAATAGCATTTGGAAGATGGTGGGAAAGGGATGAACTGAGCTAATTCCTTTTTGGTGGTGTTTCTTTTAAAAAACAAAAGCCTAAGTTTTACACAAAAACATTAATAAACAATAAAGTTCTTTTCTTATTGTATCCCTGTCTCTTGCTCTTCTGCTGTCACAGATTGGCATCAGCTGTCCCCAGGTTCAGTGTTAGCCCAGCCCCCGGATCTGTCCTTTCTAGCCGCTGGCCCTTGCAAGCCTCTGGAGTTTCCTCGCCTTCGGGCCTTCCTGGTGCCCGCTGTCAGGCACTTTTTAAAAAATGTGCTTCAGCCTCTTTAACAGCGCTTTACTTTCTCACTTCGAGCGGTAGGAGCAAAAAGGCCAATCAGGGGCAGATTTAAGGTTACTTGGCCAATCCAGGCCCAGGGGAAGGGGGCGGGACTTCAGAGGCACTGTCAAAAGCTGGGAAGAGGGCGATTCGGTCCCGCAAACCAGCTAATGGCCACAGCTCGGAGGCGGAGCCTGGGGAACGATGGCCAGGACCTATCGCCAATGGGAAAAAGTAGGCTTATAGAATTAAAGGGGAATAAATGCTTCGGCCGAACCAAGTCCTGAGTCTCCAGCGGAGTAGGGGAGCTGGTACCTTTAAGGTAGAATGAGACAATGGTAATTTAAAGGAGAAGTGGCGGAGTCGGCCGAGTATTGCCCAGCGGCACGGGTGGGTGCCCACCTGCCCCTTTAAAGTCGGAGGAGCGGGAGGCGGAGCGGAGGCGGAGGGCGGAGGGAGTCGGCGCAAGATGGCGGCGGGAGGGGCC